TTCTATGCACTTATAAAAGCAGATAGCAGGCGGCGCGGTGATGCAGTATTCACATATTAGGTGGGTACAATATTATTATATAGTATGCTTGTAGTGTAATTAAATGAGGTTACTCGATTTCATGAAGTATCAAACATTTTCGACAAACAGTTCCACACCAGAACCCCAAAGAAGTAAAGCCACTGTGAACGAACATGCCCACTACTGCAATCTGATGGATTTTTTCCATGAAAAGCTCAAGTAGTGCACTAATGTTTGTACAAAATACACGTCTTTTTTAAGCCATTCCACTACATGGGAAATTGTACAAGTTGTTTGGTGTGGGGAAAAGTATAGACAATCTACCTCATGTCATTTTTGAAATGGCATTACCTATGGAAGCTACCATAACTGTGCTTAATAAAATTGTATATGAGGATGCGACTGAACTTTACAGTAAAACGTAGCTAACAGTTTCCTGAAAAAAAGTGAACGGTAAGTACGGAGCCGCATTCTAAATCATACCTGATTTTCATTCATTACGTTGATCACTCTAGTTAATCATAATTATACTGTTCTCCGAAAATAACATTGGCCGTTCTTGAAAACATTTCTCTGGCGAATTAAATTCATTATTTGAACTACTCTCAAAATAGAAAGCATTTTGTCAGCACTATGCGTACGTACAATAATTACTATGATAGCTATTATCATTGCTTATTACTTGGAATTGATTTGAAGTGAAATATGAACCATGAATCAACATGTTCGTAGCAGTCTCCGACTATAGGAAAATATACTCGTAGCTTAACTTAAAGACACGGAGGAATATAATGTTTGTTTCTACCTTCGTAAAATTTATTATGACTAGACGGCCATATCCTTCACCGTGTCTTTTCCTTCGGGCTCAGCACAATAAGAAATCGACCTTTAAAGGAAAGATGAAATGTTACATGCCTGCTCAACTCTGAGAACGAAGAACTCTTTTGCATTTTTGTCTTTGTATTTTTCTCTCATCCTGTTTAACGCTTCAAGCGAATGATATTTTAATTTCTATAGGAAGACTTTACATGTGTGTATTGCGTCTTAATGTTTTCTAAGCAAAATTCAATTGGAAACCTTTATTTTATGTAGAATATTTGACGTATGATGCATTTGGGTCATATATAAACAAAAGGGAAATCAAAAATACATTTTGTTGGTAATATGAGGAGAGGATAGGGAACATAGGATAAAACCGTTTAACACAGGATGTTTAAATTTAGGAGGATGGGTTTGACATCGCTAGTTTGTTTGGTTGAATGGATGGTCTACTTTGTTCAGAAAGGCTTCACTGACTTGTCTTCCTCGGTGATTTTAACAAATGTCTTCAGGTGTATTGTCGCACTGCCCCTTTGTAGAAGTCCCAATGTTTTTCATCAAGAATGTAGTCGGAGAACTGCCCAGCTCTTTTATACAGGGTGTTAACTAAGTATATACAATACATTTAACAGGCGATTCTTCGAACAGTTTTAAGATAAAAAGTTCATATAAAGATAGGCCCCCAAATTCTTCGTTCTCAAGATACAGGGCACTAAAATAAAAAAAAGGTTTTTTGTAAATATCTCAATTATTGTTATTGTTATTTAGTATCTGTTGTTGTTTTTACATAATTAGTAATAAAAGATTATAAAAAAAATAATTTCCAAAGGAAAATTTTCCAGGAATATGCAATTGAGGACTTTTTTCTCGAAAACTAAGTAAGATAGGAAAAAAATTCAAGACAAAGAGAAGTTGTATTTCGATTTTATTAATCCAAAGAATTTAATGAAAATTGCACAAAAGTCAGTGGCGTACATTTTTTTGTCACAAATATTCGTTCAGATCCCGCTCGAGACACAACAGGACTTGAAAAATTTAATCAAGTCAGGGTTAAATTAGATCCTTTATACTATAAACACCACCGCCGAATTTCAACAAAATTAAGTAGAGATTAAAGATATTTACGAAACACCTTGTATCTTGATAACTAGAGAATTGGCGGACCTATGTCTATATATGAACTTTTTTCGTTTTGAAATTACGCAAAGTATCGTCTGTTATATTTATGGTTCATACTTATTTAACACCCTGTATATCTTCTTGAGGCAGATCTCTAAGTTGATAATGCCACCTTTATTTATGCGTGGTCACATAGCAGGAAAGCCGCATGCTAGTCCCGCGTAAATGCATGCTTCAATCATTTCCAATTTTACTTCTATAGGAACATCCAGGTTGAAGTCAATAATTTGAGACAGAGCTGCTTAATAAGCTTAAAGAGTTCTTTCTTCAACAAGACCGTCCTTGCGGTGACATTGAGCCCAAGGAATCGTTTTTGGTCGAGAACGTGAGTTTTCACTGTGCGCTACCCATTCCTGCCAAACTTAATCTGTTTGTGGTACATTCGTGCTCGTCCACACACACACTTGGGGTGTTCTGCTTATTACAAGTAAGCCCTCATCGACCATAATACTCAAACATCTTTCCCATTGCCCACTTTGCTCTCATGATGGACGTGTTTTGCTGTTTGGATTCATTTAGCATGCACAAATCATCTGTGTATTTTGACATCGTTTGTCATGCAATGTTTGCTACCGGCAGATCAGCAACGCACAAGTCTTACAAGTAGGGTTCGAGGATGGATCCCTGTGGTACTCCGTAGCGTAAGTGGCATATTTTTGTTTTGATATGATTGTCCTTGTCGCGTATTTGTCGGATAGACAAATAGTTTTCTATAATTTTGATAGCATTTTTAACGATGTCCGTTTGTTGTAATTTATAAGGAAGAGTACTATAAGCAATAGAGTTATTTTTTTTAAACTTTCTTACAGAATTGAGTAATACCATTACACTGCGAAGGTGATATGTTGCAAGCTTAACTTCTCTCCACAAAATCTTCGGTGTAAGGCAATCGGTACCACAGCGAGGTTTCATGTTACGGCTGGCATAATCACTTACTAGAAAGGTACTGAAATGCTTACTAGAACTTCCGAAGCAATTGTATTTCGCAATTACACCTGAGAAGCGGTTCAATCAGCGTGGATATAATCTGCTAATATCAAGTGGTGTATCAAACGACGTTATGTCAAAGGAGATACCGTTTCTCTTGATACATATCGATCGAACCGAGCGCAAACTGCATCAAATTGATCTTCCGTATGTAAATCCGATTAGTCTGAGGTATATGGATGGTGGATGCAGAGGTATATACCGGTTTATCGGCAAAGGGATATTGGGATAAAAATGAAGTCACTCGCATTCAAGCGTATGATGCACTCAATGAAATTAACGTAAGTCCGTCTGATGCGACTAGGGGAGAAACTAATAAACGTCGATATGAATAGGCTATTAAGATCAGGACCTCGAGGGGAAATTATTAGATTTTGCTGATAATAAGAACGGGAAAGTGTTCTGTTCCACCTACTGAACCGGCTAAATACCATAGCTACCATATTAAAGTTCAAATATTTATATATCTGTTCACCATTATGCATTGATTACATGTAACGAGACAGTGGCAAGACAGCAAAATATAACTATGCCGATAGAGTTGTACGGGCGAGAAGGTGTTCACACGCATCTGGAACTTTTATTTGAATCAGTGCATTGTCGATCGGAAAACGGGCTAGTTTTGCTAATAAAAATGAATCATAACAGCTGTATCAAGAAATATACAAAGTTACTCATACCACTGATGATTGAAGAATTATATGAATTATTGCGCGAAAAAAAGAAGCGTGTGCGGACAAGAAAATGGATTGCAAGAAGATCAGAATTTGGTGCTAGTAGCACACTTTTTAGAGAATTTCAGTGGAAAGATCCTAATGAATTCAGAGCACTTTTGACAATGGATGTAGAGCATTTCAATGCATTATTGGAAAGTCTCATTCCAATGATACAAAAAGAAAATACTGTCATGAGGCAAGCTATACCTGCAAGGATTAAACTACAGATGGCATTAACATATATTGCAACAGGAGTCAGCTACCGTTATTTACAAGCCTTCTATAGAATATCTCGAGCTGCAATATCGTTACTCATACCAGAGGTAATGGATGCAATATATGTCTATTTGAAATACTATGTAAAGGTAAGTGATTTTTTTTCAGACATTTTTTTGAGAGTGAATAGTTCCTTAAATTCTTGGGCTGATATTAAATATAACATAATAGTAAATTCGTTTTATTATAAAAGTAACAAACATTCAAAACTTATTTCGACATTAAACTTGTTCGTTCCCGATGTCACTGTCACAGGCAGCAGCCATAGCTAACGTTATAATATCATTCGTGGTGCGAAGAGTGTCCGATTCTAAGGTGAGGTCATCAAATCTGTTTGTCACATGATCTGTTAACGCAGTAGATGTATAACTAACATCAGTGAAATTTGAAAATACAGAAGATGATCTTTGACTGCTGTTATTCGGCGCAGACTTTTCTCTGTAATCTTTGATACCGATTTCGCTCAAAAGGCTTTGGATTCGACACTGAGCTAATAAGGTATTTTCTACCGACAAAGCTTTAAGTTGCGATGCAACACTCTTCCCAAACACGTCAAGAGGGTTTTCTTCGGCAGAATTGACTTGCTCATATAAGCTTTTCAAATCAGAAACCACTTTGACAATATCCCTACTCCTCTTCCTTGCACGTGAACTATTTCCAATGCTGCTAGTAGAAGCTGATGTAGGTAAATTTGTGTCGTTGGTTTGTGTTAGATCAGCTGTAGTAATTGCTTCAGTGTCGCGGGATTGTAAAGTCACGGAGGAGTCACTTTCTTGTGCAATGGTATCTTCAGTGCTGGGTCCATTAATCTGAAAATAACCAAAATCCTGTATTGTTTCAGGTACCACAGAACTATCAAGAATGGCAAAAGATAGAAGCAGGCTTCAGAACTAGATGGAGCTTTCCTGGTTGATATGGAGCTATAGATGGGAAGCATGTATTGATTCAAGCATCTCCGAACTGTGGAAGTGAATTTTTCAATTTTAAGGGCACGAATAGTGTTGTGCTTATGGCTGTTGTTGACCATGACTACTGTTTCCGTTATGTTAATGTCGGAGCAAATGGAAGAAACTCGGACAGTGGAATTTTCAGAAATAGCGCAATATATCGCGACCTTGAAAACAATATACTACCAACAGGTGGTTTTTTAGTTGGTGATGATGCTTTTGCACTGAAGACATATTTATTGAAACCATACAGTGGCACAAACCTCACAAGAGTACAAACATTATTTAACTATCGATTACCCAGAGCACGTAGAATAATCGAAAATGGATTTGGCATCCTAACAAGCAGTTTTAGAATATTTCAAAAACCTATACCAACTGACGTCAACCCAACCGATAAGATTATTCGAGCCTCATGTGCTCTGCATAATTGGTTGCGCCTAACAAGTCCTAGTTGTTACTTTCCAAAGGATTGCGTGGACGTAGAAAATATTGACTCTGGAACAATTGTTGAAGGAACTTGGAGACGAGAACTCAGAGCCACCTTGCCATCTATCACCGATCAGACTACCAATAATTCACCACAAATAGCAAGAAATCTCAGAGACAAGTATGCCGAATACTTTAGTGGAGCAGGTGCTGTTGTATGGCAAGCATAGTTGTAACCAAACCAAATAAACTACTTACATTTTCATATGTCTTTCTTTTCAGATCGTGAATAAACACCTCTTCCATTTCCTTCAGCCACTTGATGTTTGAAGTATATACATTACTGAGCCCAGTCCCTGATCTCTTTGAATCATTAATTTTGTTCAGTTTTTAACTGTACGTGGAACTCAAATTTTTAATCTTATTTTTTAATTCTTGCACTCAAAAGCTATCAGTATCCTTTTCTTCAACTATTGCGGCAATTGCAGTATCCCGTTTCTGATTATTTTTGTAGTCCGTCGACTGGAAATTCCACAAGCAAGAATCGGATTTATATTGTTGGATAAATTTGATTGTGGTATCACAGTCCCATTTATTCTTAGCCATATTTTATTGAAAGATGAAACATTCAGACCATAAAACTAGACGCAGTTTCAAACGGCGAGTGATATAGCACACCGAGTGCCTGTTCAAACCTGTCGAGCGCGTGTCGAGCGATATACCGAGTAGGCAGGGGGGGTGGTACTCGGTCTAGTAAGTAGAAAAGGGTCCGAGTGACTGTCTCGCTCTCCTACTGGGCCCAGCGCTCGGTTACCTGTTTATACTAACCGAGTACTAGGCCGAGACCACTGTCTCGCCACTGTACTCCTTACATGTAATCAAGGCATTATACAGGGTGTACTGAAAGATGGGACTCCTTTTCAGAAACAACTACGCTTGAAATAACAAAGCTAATATGTGGTCAAACAGCAGCGAAAAAGAAAAAAAAAATAAAAATAAATGAATAAGTATTTACCGTTCATTTGCAGAATTTTAAAGTAGAGCTCCGTTACTTATAAGTACTGTTCGAAGTTAACGCTCCTATTAAAATGTTTCGTAAAAAATGTCGAGGTATTGTAAATTTTCTAGCCGATTAGGGAAAATAAAAGATCCTTTTACCGTGCCAGCTCAAATATTTTGTTGAAAGTGTGACCAACGGGCTACGCTTCCGGCTCCTGGGTTGAGTACTGACCTACGTCGTGCCTTCTCACCTTTGATCTGATCTAGATACAGGAGCGGATCTGGTTTGATTTAGATTTGATTAACTTAGTGGAGCCTAGTATCTCAGGTACCTTTGATGTAAATGCTACTAGGAAAACCGCTTATTTTCTTCAAGATGTATGCACCGTGGAAAGAAAGGTCCCAACTTTGTGGACACTATGTATACAAAATATTACACACTGTAAAAAAAATATAACAATAGTAGATAAATAAACAAGTAAGCTACAAAAGGCAAAGCCTTGAGAGTGACATATAAAATAAAATCATTAATTGATTTAATTCTGACTAGGTGTCGAAATGCCATTTAAACCCGTTATTTTTCTAGGCGTAGATAAGTATCTACATTTCCTATAAGTAACCCACACTGTTAATGTTCTTTTAAATCAAGTGAAGTTTTTTGGGCATAAAAAGCTGTGACACGAAATGCTTTTATTTGGTCTAGGCACTATAATTTTGGATAATTTGCTTCGTGTCTGGTAATTATGGTCGGATACGTTATGGATTTATTATATATATTTCTCAGAATCATTTTTTGTAATCCATGTAATGGTAAAATGTATAAATTTTGTACTGCGTGCTGTTATAGCATGTGGAATAACATTCAATAAGTTAATTGTATTCTATTTTCATTTGAGGTAGTTAGTATATTACTAAGAATGTTGATATCATTATCATGCAGTAGATCTCTTAATTTTTTATGACAAAATCTGTGTTAGTTTTATACTTTAGATGGCGATCTATGAAGGTCCCAAGATATTTGATTGAACTTGTCCAATTGTCATGTTCTTAGGGTGAGCTTGGATTATAACTTTACTGTAGTCTAGTAATGATGTTTGCTAGAATGTAAATGGCATAAAGGAATCATCCGCAAAGGTAATTTTCTCGCCTTTTCTTTCAATTTGGAACAAATGATCCAAATATACAAAACATAGCAAGGGTCCTACTACTGCTCCCCTGCGGGACACCATATTTAAGATATTTTGTTACACTATATGAAGTCAAGCATCACAAACGCGAGGGCAGGAAATTTTGTGAGAAAGCCTATAACAAAACAGCCATTGCTGTTTATCTATCTAGCAATTCCATACACGGGTCAGCCAAATAGAGAAGTGTCCAGAAACGTGGAGCATATATTCAATAGGCTTTGGGCAATTTTGTCGTCTGATGTGTTTGTTTATTAAAATTCAAACTGGTTACAGAAAATATAACTATCATTTCAAATGTTATTGTTTTCAATTGTATTTGATGAATTAAGACTTAAAAAAGCCTTCTAATGAATGATATTAGCTACATATCACAATGCAATCTTAATAAAAATTATGCTTAATTCTAAATATTCCCATATTCCATACATTATTTCGAATGTAGTGAACTTAAGCTTAATCTTCAAGTACGATTTAGAAAAACCATAATAAAATTAATTTTAGGATATTTGCGTTTTAACAAAGCAATTCCTGTAATATAATATATAACAATAGCATTTTGGAATTTACAATGAGCTTCCAAGTGATATTTTCCTACACTTTCCATTTAATTCACCCTGTATTATGAATTAAGCTAGTCCCTCTTAGAAAAAATGTTTGGATACGAACGCGTTGAACAAATGAATTAAATGCAACGTTTCAGCTAAATAGGCCCACAGTAATCAGACCATAGACTCTAGCCGTTTGATAACGTTGCGAGCTAGAAATGCTTCCCCTGTCATACCAACCGCCTCACAAAGTTGCAATCACGTTGTGATGATGAGTATATATTGTCAGTGGCCAGCTGGCGAAAGGTTTAACTTCTATTGTCGTTGTGCTCTAAGCGTTTTATTGATAATGTTCTTCTTAATGACAAATGTATGTTGAAACGTATGTCCAATAAAAGTGAGTTGTTATCACCAGTGATTGGAGCGTATAACAACCCCTAAAATTGTACTCATGCCCACCCCCTAGACACCCCCACCCCAAATTTCTAATTCTCAAAAAAAAATCTGAAAACTTGCAGGAAGGCTGGTTTTTCATCAGAACCCGCTGTGGCAGCAGAAACTCGCCCAGGCCGCAAACTTTGGCATTAGGGACATGACGACTATGATCGGCTCAACCTTTCCTTGGAGATATGTTTGTTTTGCTGACGTGGATTCGGCTGTCTGTTTATTGATAACCTAAGTTATGCAAGCCGGAATGGAGGAATAAATCCCTCATACAGTGAAAGTGCCTAAACCAGGGACCAACGGCTGGTTCAACACTGCTCCTGAGCAGAAGATCAAGTCACACAGAACCTTCTTACAAAAGCCCAATGTAGAGAACAGACAAGCCGACGTCGAGTCCAGAAACAAATATAACGAAGCGGTTCACAATCCCAAAGACCAGCACATGGTAATGTCGCAGTGCAATGGCAGTCCATCTTTCTGTACGCTGGCCAAGAAGATTGGAAGGAACACTTACGTGTCAGGATGGAATGCTTGTCACCGACTCAAAGGCTAAGACGGAAGTGCTTGACAAAAGCTTTGCTGCCAACTTCACCATGTACGTACCCCGAAACGTCCAAATGCCGTCGATTCAAAGGGTTTCCTACACTATGCATGAACTAACATTCGCATAGGACCATAAGACAGGTGCTTTACTCGATCGACATCAACCAAGCTTCTGGCCCGGACAGGATTCGCGCCAATATATTGAAGAGGTGTGCAGCAGAGCTTGCTCCATCCATCTTTCGTGTGTCTTCCAGATATCTTACGAATCCGGTACCTTTCCAGAAAACTGGAAATTTGCTCATGTCCAATATATCCCCAAAAGAAAGGATTTAAGACCAACCCTTACAACTACAGCCCTGCTTTCAATTATAAGTAAGGTGTTGGAGGGGTACATAAATCGCGAGCTTCTAGACTACCTCGAAGGTCACGGCAGTATGGTTTTAGACACCAGCGATCCACAGGAGACTTCCTAACTTACGTCAAGCAATTGTGGAGTAAACTCATCCAGTCTTATGGTGAGCGTCATGTCGTTGCTCTTGGTATCACGAAAGCGTTCGTTTAGGTATGGCACGTTATCCTTTTATGTAAACTGCAATCCTACGGCCTCCCAGAGAAGCTCTGCAGACGGGTGACTGACTTTCTCATAACGTCAAGGCGGGTGTTCTCCAGTGATCGGTCTTGGCTCCGACACTGTTTCTTTTACAAATCAACGACCTCCTTTCCTGTGCGATCAAACCAATCTAGTGCTTTACTGATGACAGCACTCTACAAGCAGGAATTAAGAGCGACCGGCCGACCTCTTTGGAAAAAAGAAGACTAGCAGCGACTTCTTCTCTGACGAGAGATCCGAATATCACTGCTTGGGCGTACTAGTGCTCATCCGGTTTCGCATTATGGCCGAGTTCTGACAAAGAGCTGTTCATTTCGGCTGGTCGGAGTCAAGATCACCGAGGACTTGATCTGGCAGAAGCACTTCTCGTCAATAGCGGCAGATGCTGGGGAAAAAACTGGGATATTTGTTTACGGCTAAGAATTACTTTTCTCCGCTCCACACTACACAAGGCCCAGATAAGACCTAGCCTCGAGTATTGCTCACACGTTTGAGGTGATGCCGCCCCTACATTATCTATGCTTGATGCTGTCCAGAGGAGTGCTTAGATGACTCAACAACAGTGGTGCAGATAGCTCCAAACGAGGAATACGAACAGTTGCGATAGGAGCAACCTTAGTTTTAGCTATCAGCAGGAACGGTTTTCTATCGCTGGCCTTGAGGTGAAAAGGAAAGCCATTTAATTCATAGCTAGAACTCATAGCACTCCCTAGCCACCTAGGAAAACTGATGCCTCTTACTTTGGCGATGTCGAATCTTATATCCAACCACCTTTGATTCAAATTTTGAAGTAAATGGATGTCCCAGTCCAAGTTGTTCATCCATAAGACAGAACCAGGCTATACAAGAGGATAACACAATTTTGCCTCTTAGTCAAGATTGTCCGCTTGGTAATTACAGAT